GGCTGGAACATGATACAGTGTTATGTTTCCAGTGTATCCCTAGTTAGTGATACCTTTATGGAACACACAGACAGATACACACTCTATTAATAAATCGTTTATTATTATTATTATTATTATTATAACAATAAAAAAAATAAGGATGAACATCAACTATCACAAAAGTGGGTACAAGTCATCACTAAGGTGGGTATGAGTCATCTCTAAAATGGGTACAAGTCATCACTAAGGTGGGTATGAGTAATCTCTAAAATGGGTATGAGTTATCACTAAAGTGGGTATGAGTCATCACTTAAGTGAATATGAGTCATCACTAAAGTGGGTACAAGTCATCTCTAAAATGGGTATGAGTCATCACTAAAGTGGGTATGGGTCATCACTAAAGTGGATACAAGTCATCTCTAAAATGGGTACAAGTCATCTCTAAAATTGGTACAAGTCTTCACTAAAGTGGGTATGAGTCATCACTAAAGTGGATATGAATCATCACTAAAGTGGGTACAAGTAATAAGAACACAAGAAAATAAAGAGTCTGCAATAGGCCGGTTGGCCTGTGCATGGCAGCTCCTGTCGAGAGTTACTACCACTCTCTATCATCCATGAATCTATCTAGCCTCCTTTTAAAACTTTCCAGCACTTACTACAAGGTTGCTAAGCTTGTTCCACTCGTCCACCACCCTATTTGTGAACCAATTCCTTCCAATCTCCCTCCTAAACCTAAACCTATCCAACTTAAATCCATTGCTACAAGTCCTATCCTGCTTGGATATTATAAGAACCTTATCTATATCCCCTTTATTGATTCCTTTCACCCACTTAAATACTTCTATCATATCTCCCCGCACTCTTCGTCTTTCTAGGGAATGCAAGTTTAGTTTCTTTAACCTATCCTGATATGGAAGGTTTCTAAGTCCCGGAATCATTTTCGTCATTCTTCGCTGCACCGACTCCAGTGAATTAATATCCATTCTATAATAAGGGCACCAGAACTGAACAGCATAATCGAGGTGCGGCCTGACTTGCGTAAGATATAGTTGCAATAAGACCTCTGCACTCTTATTACGTACACTTCTAGATGTAAAACCTAATACCTACGTATATGGAGCCGATTGCGAGTTTTTGGGAAAAAACGTAGAAACTATAGCATTTTTTCGATCGCATGGTGTTCTTCCAACCTCAGTAAAGTGTACTAAAAGCAAGACTGAATGTAAATATCGCAAAGACCAACATGTGGCGGTGTAAGAATCTCAGAATGCAATGACGAACAAGAACCAGGCCAATAAGGTAAGAAATAGGCGATTCCATCATATGGTGAGTCAGTTAGGTTAGGTTAGGTTTTTATTTTTCTACTGTTTTTTTTTATTTTTTAGTTGCTTAGTCAATTTTTTTCGGAAAACGTCAAATGAAACAAAAATCTCAAAAAACCCGGCTAATTTCCGCCAAATATGAAGGTTATATTCGGTCTAAACACAAATACACTAGAGAAATATATTTTTTACTTGCTAAAAGTGAACGGTGTGACAATGATAATTTACCAATAAAACATTACTGAACTATCTTATTGTTTACTAATGTCTGTATAATTGTCTTGCTCATTAACACTGCACTTAATATACAGTAGACATTGTACACTTACTATACAGTAGACATTGTACACTTATTATACAGTAGACATTGTACACTTACTCTATAGCCAATAGTCTTGCAGGTCCCATACAAACTTATAAGTTATTAACTATATGTTAGGGTGCCAATCCGGGCAAACATCTTATAATACTTAACAAATGATACTTGAAAAATCTAAAATAGTATACATTTCCTGTTCAAATGAGTGATGGTGTTTTATTTAAATTACATCATTCTGTAATGTGGGAGGAGGAGGACTTTGACCCACAGGTGTTGCTTCTATCAGTGACTCATTACAACTAATTAACAGCCATAATATTTCCATTGAGTGTATTTACCTGGACTGACGACCGAGGCCTTCTTATTGAAGAAATTTTGGAGGTTGAATTTGGCCTTGGGAACATAGAAGGTTGCACATGTATGGATGGGAGACAAGTAATCCGTCCGTCTGCTCCGGGACACAACAACACAGTGGACTAAGGTCTTCCCTACCGCATTTATTATCAACCTCACTTCTTGATAATTCCTTCTTTTTCCTTCAACTGGTAACCAAATTATCGGAAATTATCACCCAATTTTAAGCTTAATGCAATATTAAATATTAATCATGTGATTTATTCTAAGCACTAGTATATTTGGCCTCGGTACTGCTCCAGCTGATGCGGAGGAATTCAAGAGCGGGAGATTCAAATTTCTCAATTTTCATAACAAACTTTCGTAATGCAAATAAAACTAAATTTATAAGAGTAATGTTTAATACTAAATATTATATCTATTATTAAAAGGCTTTATCTGATTTTTTTTTAATAAATTAATGGGGCCATTCAAAAAAATACATAACGCGTTTTTCCACCCAAATTTATACCCCCCATCCCCTGTAACACCAAGTCAAACCTCCCTAAAATATTACGGAACACAACCCTGAACACCACCACCCCCAAACCCCCCGGACTCACAACACTGCTCTAGATCACACCAACAGCTGAATAATATGCAGGGGTGGGCAAAACTCATAAAATTCGCACTGAAGAGCGATTTTTTTTTTGCGAATTTCTATGGTGGGAGTAAGTGCAAAAGTGATTAGCATAGTCGTATTAGGCACGGGTACCGTTAATAATAGGCTTGTCTTGTTATGTGCGAGGGAGTAGTTATCATCACAACTATGACCGCAAGCAGTGTGATGATTAATAGCAGGAAATCATTATCTGTACCTGTCACAAGCGGGGGTACCACAGGGCAGTGTATTGGGCCCGCTGTTGTTTGTTTGTTTCATAAATGACATGCCTGTTGTACACTCCTCCATACAAATGTTTGCCGATGACTCCAAGTTATTTCGGGAAATCAAGAACCATACGGACTGTGAAGAGCTGCAGAAGGGTCTCTGTGAGCTCCAAGAATGGTCGAAGAAATGGTTGCTGAGATTCAGTGTCACGAAGGAGGCGTATCATAATTATGTCCCAACGGGATGAAGAAACTGCACTATTTGAGACTGAATGTGAGAAGGACCTAGGTGTGTATGTTGACAATGAGCTGAAGTTCTCGGGCTCTTGCGAGAAGAAGGTAAATCAGGCAAATAAATTAATTATTGGGTCTTAAAAAAAGGTCGTTCAGATATCTAGACAGTCTGTCCCTCGCAACGATCTTCAAGAGTGAAGTGCTTCCCCATCTAGAGTACTGTCACCCCGTCTGGTCCCCGAGATATGCTAGGTTCTGTCAGTTGGTTGAAAATGTTCAAAGGAGGGCCACCAGACTGGTGCCTGCACTTCGGCACCTCAGCTACCCTGAGAGATTGGAGCGCCTGAACTTGCCTAGCTTATACTACAGACAGGCAAGGGGCGACCTAATTGAAGTGTATAAGCATCTCAAGGGGCACTACTCAGTCGAGTGTCCTTACTTGGAGTTGGCGGACGCTCGCCACACAAGGGGTCACAGCTCAAGATTGACGAAGTCGCAAGTCCAGAAAACCGTGAGGGCAAACTTTTTCGGAGTGAGAGTTGTGAACTCTTGGAACAATCTACCAGAGAGTGTTGTGACGGCACCGAGTGTGAGCTCTTTCAAGACAAGACTTGACCAACACTGGAGCGGGTTCAGGTACATTCAGAAGCCGGTGCATGCCCAGTATTTGCCAACAGTGCGTGACAGAGACGTGACCGATCGCCCGGGCGGCTAGCGAGCCGATCTTTTGGTGAAGAGGATAAATGAAAAGGAAAAGTAATCAGAGACGTGACCGATCGCCAAAGTGGCTAACGAGCCGATCAGTGGCGAAGAGGATAGAAGTAAAAGTAAAAGAACTACAGTAGATATATTTTCCTAAGTTGCTGCTGCTCTCTCTCTCTCTCTCTCTCTCTCTCTCTCTCTCTCTCTCTCTCTCTCTCTCTCTCTCTCTATATATATATATATATATATATATATATATATATATATATATATATATATTATAGCTATAGTATTACCAAATGACTGTTTATATTACACATGCGCATAATAGCCTATTTTGTAAACAACTACATTAGTAGGCTTAACTGTGTGGATACAGCATATTGTATAATAAGCCTTCGGTACACAAGGAGGCCGCCTGGCCGGTACTGCACTAGTTTCTCCAAGTTGTAAACGCCTGGGACAGGAGACGAGCGCGAAACAAGTACGTAAAAGCTTTCTTATTTCAGTATTTTATTAACACGTGTCATACGTTAAGGACATGAACATCTGCAGATCAAGGAAGAGGGAAGACGGAAATCCGGCCGCTGCACTCCCCTTCCCGGGTCACCCCAAGTCCACCCCTGCAACTCAACTGCAGGTACTGTAGGTAGCTAACTTATCGCCAGCACTCTGTGGGGCTGATCGTATGGTTACTATCAAACAGTTACTGATACAACGTGGCCTGTTAGCTCAGTTGGTTAGAGCGCCGTGCTAATAACGCGGATGTCGAGGGTTCGATCCCCTTACGGGCCAAGGTAGACCATCTCCCGGGAGGAGCTGGAGAGATCTTTTTAAAACACCTCCTTCCGCTGGCCTTGCCAGCTATCAGGATCATTGATAGCCCAGTTCCCACTCTGCAATGGGTTGGCGATAGGGAAGTCATCTAGTAGTAAACCTTCAAATTTACCTGATGGTAACCTGGATATCATGCCATCAAGTAACATGGCTGATCGATACAAGCGTGGAACACTGGTCATAAAACGGTGATGATGATATGAAAGAGGTCAGGTAATATGTCCGATTGACTGATGGAGGTTAACGGTCCTGAATTTGTGCTGGAGGTCTATCATAACGGAACTGACGTAGTGTGGCAGCCCTACCTGCAATCCGCCCTTGTGTACAGGTTAAATTAACGAGGATACTGAGAACACATTAGTTTTTATAATGGTATGCTTTATTACTTGCGTGATTCATCATCGTCGTTTTACGGCCATTTTCCACCCTAGTGTGAGTTAGCTGTGGTTACCTGATGGCAGCTTTCTAACACCCTCTCCCCATGTCGCTCTTGGTCTACCACTGGCTCTCCTTCTCTCCACAGAGATAAAAGTAAAGAAAGATGAAGGCTGAGCTAGACCAACAGTCACCAGGTGTGGAGGAAGGACCAGTGTACATATTCTCCAAGTGTTGTAGGATGAATATTCCTCGTAACTGGAGCTGCACCTAACTGGCTCATTTAAGCTAAAACACAAAAATAAAAGTTCAAAAGTAACATGAAAATTACACTTAAGACTTTTTATTGCACCACCTGCTCAGTTCAAACAATTAACCTTACTTTATCATCTTCAACAATTGTCGGTTGGTTGGTGATAGTGGTGACGCTCTCATCTCTTACCAATAGTCAAGGGTTCGATCCCGGACATGCGTGACCTTCACTACCAAACACCACAGGTTCTCCGGTTTCCTCCTGTACTAACACCAGCTAGACCAACCACCCGAACAGCAAGTAAGATGATAAATAGCGAAAGGAAAAAAGAAAAAGACATTTACGGGAAGGTAAATTGAAGCAGTCAAGGATTGATAAGCGATGAGAAGTGACATCCGTGGGTGACCTCAGTCAATGTCAACTCAACCACCAGCACCAGCGTCCCTGCCGCCAGACCTACGGTACACACAAACAAGACAGGTCAGCCAGGAGAGTGTTTCTGGTCAACCAAACATACAGTACAGTACTTCATATAGCCAAATATGTCCCAGTCTTAAAGTGAAGTGCTCCCATATTATGAGTGAGACAATAGCACTACAAATATGATGTTCTGTCATGAAACAGTACTGTATCTTCTGAACCAATAGAAGTAAATTGAGTAAAATGCATCTTTTGCATACTGGGCGGCGAGCGTACACATAGTATAAGTAAATAAATTAATTAGACTGTAGGTTGTGAAGGTACTCGCCCGCCCACAACATCGATTATTACCACCAGACAAACAAGATCTACCTTCGTTCAGGACACACGCTAATAAACTTATCTAAGTAAATAAACATTTCAGTTTCTTTTAGTTAACACTATAATTCCTGTTCCTTGCCATTTTCTATGAAAAATAAAATTATTCAGAGAAAACTTACAAAGTGCGAACACTGAGAAGAGACCGAAGTAATCATTCAGTGCCAGAGGACGCTTGGCCCCTATGAGGTCAGCACCTGGGGGACCTAAACACGCAGTGCCGTTGGGAAGTTGTTCATCCATCCATCGGTGGACCAGTCCTTTGTTCACCAATTCTAAAATTCTGAAAGTAAAGTCATGTTTTATATTATGAAACTGAAATCCTTTACAGTGTTCAGACAACAGTACGTGGGCAGGGATTCCTTGTTTATTTATAATTAAATAAAATCATCTCATTAACATTTTTACCTGTAAGTTAAGTTCACGTCCTGTAGAGCGCGAGCAGGCCATGTCTGTGTTAATAATTCCCTGACTTTGTTAAACTTCCATCGTTTACTGTAGTTGTTGGTAAACTTATAGGAATACTTTACCCAAAGCTTTAAGAGAAATAATTGAAGTCGTAATAGAAGAACAGACAGACTGCCCCAACGACTAGTAAGCTGATATGTGGTGAAAATAACAGGAAAAAATAAATAAAAATAAACCACTGATAAGATTTCCTTCATTACAAGTTAAGGCAGAAGCAGGTGACTGAGAGGACCAGCTGGTGTGTTTACCTGCAGGACGGCCACAACACTAACTAGTCATTTCTTTACTGAGGTCAGCTGATGAAGGTACAGGCAGTAATATTAACAGGAGCTATAACATACCCTCACACTTCTATTCTATCACTACAGTATATTAATAACTATAATATTTATTCTCTATCTACTTTTATAGTTAATGTTATCTCTCAGTCTCTCTATATCTGCATTGTACTGGATCTCTCTCTCTTGGACGAGACCGGGGTGGGGAAACTCTGGAGGTCGGTGGTCATGAGGGTTCTTCGGGGCCACCTGTTATTTTCACAGATACTGTAATAATAACTCTTGTAGATTTAATGGCAATTAAAGTTGTGTTGGAGTTGGTTATATAAGAGCGTACAGTACATACCGTGTAAACGTCATCCAAATATTGCATATCAACACCTCTTGAGTCTCCAGTTAAAAAACAACAAAATATTGAACTCGAATTTGGTGGCGGACCACTGTGAGACCCTCGGCCGGGGACCACAGTTTCCCCGCCTATGCTCAAAGACAAGGCGACAGCAGAGACCCACTGAAGGTTGGCCTTGGAGTAGATGGGGTGTTGGTGCTGGAAGGCAAGAGCCATCGGCATGGACATGAAGTCTTCCCTCGCCATGTAGAAGTTACACTCTCCCGTGGCGCTGAAGTCCTCTGACATCACCTGGTCACAACATTAACTTAGATGTCAACATGTGAGGAGTTTAACACCTGTAATATCACTTGATTAAACTATTAAAATAACGTCAACCACTGAGGTGTAGATAATTAGATTTGTTTAATTTCAGGAACAGATACATATACAAGTACAACAAGGGCAGATGTGTACTGTATACATGTGTACCATAGGTCTGATAGTCCATTAGGGACGTGCAGCTACAGCAGTGAATTATCGACACATGTTGGTTTGTACACTGGACAAAGTCTTAAGTGTAAAGGTGTTCATTATAAGGTAACTCTCAGAATAACGACTACAGTATACTCATTATGTTTACAGTGTAGATCCTATGTTTATTATGCAGGCGAAACACTATTAAACCATAAAGGAGAACATTACTAAGGGAGCAATTGAAAAGTTGCCCAAAATATATTTTTCATTAAAAACATTATTTATTGGCCACTCATACAAACACTGTAATTAAAAGGTATATTTTATGGCCACACACACAGGCCTCAGATTCACCAAGTAACTGACCCATTGACGGCAGCCAAGAATGTGTTACATATGTAAAGGGAAGTCACAATTAATGTAACCCTGAAAATACTATTGGTTATAATCACATTATACTGTAGGTGTAGTCGGTTATCACGATTGCGACGCTAAAGAAAATAATATAATCATTTACGATTACAGACGTAAATAAAAGAATGTACTCGATCCTGTTTACGACTATTTGAACAGGTGTAATAATTAATCGATGATGATTAAAGATTATGAGTACCCCATGTGTGGGCGGTAAACATTCTGGGGACACTGATATTTTCAGAGTAGACGACATGGGAAGAAACCTTCTCTTATAATAGACAACTTTCAATAAATCCAGGTGACATAAAACACCATGTTAAGGACTTCACTCACCTTCTTCATAGTCATCTTATCACAGACAGCTGCGTATTCACCAGCACCGATGTCATGACGGTAACTATAGCAGTCTGTGATCCTGGCCGAGTGTCCGTCCCACAGTGTCTTGTAGATGCCGTCTGTCGCTTGCTGGAGGCGTCGGTTGTAACGTGTAAACAGTGTTAACGTGAGGCGAGCCATCATCACTTGCGAATTATTTAATGTTATTGTTAAATTAAGGCTAAAAGAAAATATATAAGAATGGCTGAACTGTCAGTATTGGGACATCATATTAACACAGCTTTATGTCTGTGTAGAGCTATCGTGTTTTGTGAAGGATTGAACCGTCAGTGGATGTAAGAAACTCGGTATAAAACTAAAACATTTAACAAACTAAATTCAAAAACTACCATAATTACAATTAATAAAAAAACATTAAGAAAAAAAATCTGGGCATAATTTAATGTAAAAAAAAAAAAAAACATTAAAATGTGAAGATCAATAGAGTATAAAATTTAACTACCTTTACAGATGATTAGTTTCAAGAAAATTTCATGCACATGTTAAGACGGAAGACTCGTTGGACTGTAAGAACAACGGTATCAAGCAGAGAGTAAGTAACGGGGATGGTTATCTCGGGAGACACGTGAAGAGAGGTGTGTGAGGGAGAGCGCGTGATAGGGAATGAGAAAGGTGTCAATCAAAGCAGGTAAGGTGTGGGAGCTGTGTGTGTAGTGAAGGCTGGTGATGACGGGCCGGGGTGATGGTGGTGATGAACTGGTGGTACATCCCAAGACAGTATTGTGGTGTTGTGAGTTGGGATGAGTGAGGTGGTGGTAGTGAGGGAGGGTATCTTGAAGTGTGGGCCACGAGCTGCACTGTATGTAATGTGGATATTTGGACCATAAACCAAAAATTTCCTGACAGTAATTTATAATTCCCCAAATACCCCTGCAAGGAACCTTCCAATCAGGAGCCTTCAGGTTAGGTTAGGTTTGGTTAGGTTATTTTCACGACCACCTTGGCCTAAACAGCGACAAAATAAAATAACAACAGCAGCAAGAGACAACAGATACACAGGGACTCACGTATAAGATCTGGTACAAGAAGGAGCCTGACTCTATAGCCCAAGGCACCTCCTGCTGGTTCACCAAGTCCTCGGTACTGTCGATGGGGAGCCGCACCTGACCATGAAACATAATGCGTATGTGTGTGTGTGTGTGTGTGTGTGTGTGTGTGTGTGTGTGTGTGTGTGTGTGTGTGTGTGTGTGTGTGTGTGTGTATGTGTGTGTGTGTGTGTGTGTGTGTGTGTGTGTGTGATTTAGTATCATACGATCATGTGGATATAAACATTTAAAGAAAGTATTCTATTGTTACACATCCCTGACTGAATACCCTGGAATAGCGAGCATCGTTATATCTCAATAGCTCCTTAATACTCAGATCCAGAAGCAGAACCTAACCTAATCTAACCAAACTAAATCTAAAAAAACAGCCACAAATTTATGGTGAACATGTGTGACTGTTTCAGAGACTAAATATCCCCACCATCAGTACCTTTAAAATGAACACAAGAAATCATTAACTGAGGGGGGGGGGGAATCATCTTGAGGCTTCGTCAACACACTGACTCCCTCGACAGCCAGAACAAGGATGATACAATTATCTTAACCAAGGAAATAAGACGTTGAGGGACCTATCAAGTACTGTACGTGACTCATACAGCCAGCATTGTTATACGTACAGTAAGTGAAGTAATATGGTTCACGGAGAGAGAGAGAGAGAGAGAGAGAGAGAGAGAGAGAGAGACTCACCAGGGGCACGGAGAGCATGGCGGTGAGGGTGCCGGAGAAGACAGAGACAAAAATGAGGCAGGAGAGGAGCCAGGAGGCTGTCATCACCCTCCTGCTGTCGCTCTCTGGCAGCCAAGGGTTACCTGTGCCGTGGGAAATGTCTGCCATGTTAAGGTGTACGATATTTGTAATTATTTAATCCACAAATAAACTGTCAGATGTATTGAAACTAGGATTAAGGAACATAATTATGTCATTAAATCGTAGAACACAAACTGTTATATTCACTTATACTGCAGACAAGAAGCACACCGGGAGGGCCGGTATACAATACACAGTTGATCATTTTAACAACCAGCAACAGTACACTCAACTTTTATTCAGATAGATAAAATATCTAACGGAGTGAAGAACTGAAGGTACACTACACTACACTCGCTACAGAAAATATCTGCCAGGCGGTAGCTGTCTGAATGAGCACAGCGACTCCTGTTGTCTCGGTATAGGGTTGTTAAAATCCTTCGTCCGTTGTCATATTGTCTAGCCAAAAATTTACAGATACTTTTTGTAGCTAGTGTCAGTGCCGGATTTAGACCTGTGGAGGCCCATGGGGTGGCGAGTGAAGCGAGCCTAAACATCTGGGAGTTCCGGGGGGCGCTGTAAGCCCCCCGGGAAAATTTTGAAATTTGAACACTTCTTTGGAGAATTTTGAAGCCATATGCAGTTATATTGAGGAAATTAAAACATACTGTATATTTATTGATAGTGTACAAATTCCCAACACACACACAAAAGTGAGACATGACTGGAGTCATTCATGTGGTTTCAAGTCGACCAGCCCTGATATGTGGAGGCCCCTGGGCAGCTGCCCACTTTGCCCATTCCTGAATCAGGCCCTGGCTAGTGTAAACCAGACTCTAACTACAGTATAGCAGCGAGCTGTGGTGGTGAGGTCTGGACCTGACTGACCCAACCCATTACCGTACCATACTTGGTCAGGTCACTAGTTTGGACCGGAGTTTCTACGTGTTGTCTCATTCCTGGAGGACATCATTGGGCATCAAACTGCATTATTATTAAAGAGGAGCTGATACACAGGTGTTTGCACGAGCACGTAGAAATTTTCAGCATACTGTAAGTAATTTTCAGATTTGTTTTAGTTGTAGAACTTCCGTGAGACTAGACCGCCTTGTTATGCTTTAAATGTCTGTCTGTGTCGTATAAGGTGCGTTTGATCTTACATAAATGTGTACTATTCAGCTGGTGACAATATTGGTACACAACAACTAAACCCTCACTTTGACTAGCTAGGGTCCTGGTGAGCCACATAACATGGGACTTGTTGCTGTACTTCCTCCTCGTCTGTACACCTCCTTCCTGCCTCTGCGTCGTCGTCATCAGCCTCTCGTAAGGGCTCAGGTACAGGAACACAACCAGGATCAGCCAGGTGAGAATCAGACTGGCCAACAGACACAACCACACCTGACCATCACATAGACAAAGGTAAGTGGACCATAATGACAACATATCACTGTTGTTTTACTACTGCACTGCTATTACTACTACTACTACTATTAATACTATTAACTCTCTTTTACTTCAGTGATAGCACTTTTAATACTGCTACTACTACATTTACTCTGCGCTTACTAATACTCTTACTAATACTACTACTTCTGTTACTTTTAAGTGGCCTCCACTAATACTACTGCTACTACGGTTACTACTTTTTTCTCTTTTTTTAAATGGCCTCCAGCCTCCCCCAATAGCCACACCTTCGCCACCATTTTATAACCTTAATATTAAATATCCTAATACATAAGTAGCTATGCTAGCTGTGTTGAGTTAGTTGAGCCGCAGATCTATGCGGCATTCAGTGACTGTTGCCTCATAGTCAATATCTGCAACTGTTGTCGGCTTTGGGGCCGAAGCTCTCGTTCCCCTGAGGCAGAGCAAAGCCGATCGAAGGAGAGAGAAGGACAGTCGACATCTCATCCAGGCTGTAACATAACTTCTGGGCTGCTGCTTCTGTTCGGATATCACCTCCGCGAGTCTGGCGTAGAAACATCTTGCACTTGGTCCCATCCCACCAGAGGTTGTGAACACTAGAGGAGTGAAGCTTCCTTGATCAACGTTCTGAATTCTCTCCCCATATTCCCTTATCTTGTCGTTCTCGTTCCTCCTGTGTGCAGCATCGAGAGCTAAGTTACGGTGACATGCTGCCATTGGATAAAAAATTCTGATGTACCGAAGGCGGCTCGCTGTCCCCGCGTCCAGAATCCTCGAGCACTGACGTCAACACGGGCTTCGTTGGATGTGTTTGAAGTCTTATGTTGGAAGATCTCACCGTCCAATGGAAGGAGGGTCGGTTCTACCAT